AAACCTTTTTTTTTTTTTTTTAATCACTCGTTTCTTATAAAAATTATGCTACTTTGAGGGTCAAAAGAGTTAACCATCAATGATATTCTGTTCTCTAGATATGGTTCAGGTTCATCCTTCAATGTAAAACTATGGGATTTTTCCCACTTTCCAGTCCAGTCACTTAAAGCAACAGCCGAAGTTTAATACTAAAGGTTCAAATCACTAACCCTAAAACATGAGAAATTTTAATAATTAAACCCCCACCTATATGGGTTTTTTGAGGGCCAATGCCGATACCGATATTAGGGAGCAAAAAATATATATCAATATATATATATATATATCGATATATCTGACGATATTCTTTATGTGTCTATTATAGTACAGTACCAGTCAAAAGTTTGGACACTTTCCCATTCGTGTGTCCAAACATTTGACTGGTACTATATAAAATACAGTATATACAAACAGAATAAAAAATTTTTTTGCAATGATCACTCAAATGTGGTGATCAAACACTTATAATGACGTGACAGAGATATGTAATGATGGAGGCAGGGTATTTAACAATTTAACAATACACTTTATTATCCAAAATGAGTCTGACATCAGTGCACTAAACAGTAAAGTTGAAGTTTATTCAACTTTATTTCAATACAATTCCATTAAACTTTATTCCGTTTAAGTTTATTTCACTTCGGAACATTCATTTACGGATTTGCACTATGCCACTGTCTTCACAAACAGACGAAACTTAGAAGTGTGACATTATATAACTCTGTAAATAAATACTATTTAAATTCACGTCTTGCCCACTTTAATGCCCTTTGAATGTAACATGTACATTCCCGTAAACAGTGTAAACAGTGTATGCTGTTCTGTGCCAGCTGCGTCACGCGGATATGTTGTTTTCGTTCAATAAACAACGTCTATGGGAGGGTCAGAGAGCTCTCAGAATTAATCAAAAATATCTTACGTTGTGTTCCGAAGATGAACGAAGGTCTTACGGGTTTAGAATGACATGAGGGTGAGTAATTAATGACATAATTTTAATTTTTGGGTGAACTAACCCTTTAAGTAGAGCATTTCATTGACGTTCTCTGTTGTTGTCTTTCAGGCCGCGCCGGAGAGAGCGACTGCAAGTGTAGCCATAACATGTGCGATGCTTTTGAGAAAGCCTACTACTATCTGTACCCCTTCAATATCGAGTACAGCCTCTTCGCATCAGCCATGGCCTACGTCATGTGGAAAAATATCGGCCGCCAGATGGATGAACACCATAGCCACAATCTGCGCTTTAGCCTGTGGGACGTTCTGATTGGTCCAGTCGCTGGCCTGATCATTCTGGTGGCAGGCCTGGCTACGTTTGTGGTGTACGAAGTGGACGTGGCCAAAGAGGACCCAAAAAAGAAGGAGGAATCTCTGATAATACATTACATTATGAACATAGTCGCCATCCTTCTGATGTCCATCACAACTTTGATCGGTTGTGTAATCTTCCGGATGGATAAGAGAGAGCAGGTGTCCGGGAAGAACCCTACCAGGAGTCTGGATGTGGGACTGCTTGTGGGATCATCTCTGGGCCAGTTCCTCATCTGTTACTTCACCATAGTAGCTGTTCTGGCATCAGGGGTCCAGGGGCACATAAATGGGCTCAACCTGGCCAATTCTATTCTGACTGTGATCCAGCTGTGCCTACAGAACGCCTTCCTCATCAAGGGCCTCCATCGGGAGCCGTTCAAAGAGACTGAGACATCCACCGTCTTCGCCAATGTCATGGCCGTACGAGAGAGAGACCCGGAAAGACGGAGCAGCTCTATCGTTCCAGCTCACACGCTACCCATCCCGTTGACGTTGCTCCAGGGTCGACTCTGCTGGAAGAGGAGGATCCTTAAGGAGATCTGTGGCTTCCTGTTATTCTGCAATGTCATTGTAAGTACCTGACTCCATATTCTTTATTGAGTAAGAGGTAGGGTTGCAAAGAGGTGGATAATTTCTAGCAAATTTCCAGAAACATTCCAGAATTTTTGGGAAAATTTGGAAAAATGTAGGAAATGTTGGAATTTTTGGAAACGTCTGGAAAATTGTGAAACTTTTGGAAAATTAGGGAAATTTTCTGCCACTTTGCAACCCTAGTTAGAGGGCATACACACAGGATACATTCTTGCATATATTGTTTTTAATGGTTAACAGTTTCATTAACATACCCACACATCGGATCAAATTATTATTTATTACTCATCACATAACAAAATTAGAAGCTGGAAGTGGAGAAAGCACCTTGATTATTTATGATCGCTGTATGATCATTGTCTTATTTGCTATAATTTTGTGGTTCAAAATTGACGATCCAGGCATTTAAAAAATGCTACAAATCCATTGCGTTTTGTTTCATTCTGAATGCGTATTATGTGTGAATGCCTCCTAGACTCCTGTGTCTTTAACACTTCATGGTCAGAAATCAGTTTTAAATCTAATTCTGTACATTGCATTTCTGTTTTGCAGCTTTGGATTATGCCTGCCTTTGGAGCCCGGCCTCAGTTTGACAACACCGTCGGATCAGACATTTATGAATTCGAAACGTGGGCAGCAATTGTGAATATTGGAATGCCATTTGGGATCTTCTACCGGATGCACTCAGTGGCTAGTCTGTTTGAGGTGTGCCTCGCCTCATAAATCAGCTGACCACTCAGGAACTGTACAAGCTTATGCACATATCTTTGTAAAATAGATATATTTTTTATATTATATTTTTGTTTAGCTGAAAGAGAAATTGTTTTATTTTTTACTACATTTTTATTGTATAATGCAACAATGTGTATATGTGAGCGTGTATGGAGATCTAGACCATGTTGAACTGAAATCTGTTTGAATATGTGAATATCATCTGAAATATGGCCTAATCCTGTTACAGGCATTAGACTGCTAGCAATGCAGTGAAACCCTCTGGAAGTATTACCAGAGATCTGCCTTTTCATTGGCACCTGTGAATTCCCAATTTCTGTTTATTCTGGTCACCGTGTACCCAGATTAAAATGAGCAAACTGTACTCCGTTTTTTATGCTTCTGTTCCTTATGGATTAATGAAGTCTGAACAGGAAGTGACACAATGACAAGTGTGTTTTTGTACTCTACATCCTCTCAATATATTTGGACAATTTTTGCACAAATGCACAAACATTAAAATACATATACAAATGCAATGTCTTGATCTGTTCCACAAGCTCCCTTATAAATACTGCCACAAATGAAGAAGTCATCTGCACTTTAAACAATATGATGAACATATGCAGAAATTCAGCAACCATAAGCGAATAATTTTGCCAGCACTGGATAGTTTCATATTTTTCATATATGTAGACAGCGTTTCAACTTTAAATATCAAGCAGTATTTACAGTATCTCATTAGCAAAACTGATATGCAGTCAAAAATAGAGATATTGGTAGGCTATACCATCAAACAACTACGATATATAATACTTTGGAAACAAAAATTGTTTTTGTACATTTTCACGATGTATATGAATACTGGTGGAATTAATCGAAACCAGCTTTTGATTTTCTGTTCATTTTCCTTCCAGTTATTTTTCATACCTGACTACAGTGAAATTTGGGAGTATGCATGTGTAAGCACATGTTCTTACACATACCAAAAATGAGGATTTAGCAAGATCGCCCTCTTGTGGTGATAATACAATTTTAGAGGACTTTGTCAATGCTTCTAATCTAACAACTTGCTAGAAATTTTTCACAAGGTTTTCGATACTATAAATAGCATTCCTTCTTATAACAAGCACCTTGTTCCTATAAAAACCACAGTGAGAGAGTTTCACATGTCTGGGCTGCCTAAGTGCTGACCACAGTATGCTTTTACTATCAGAGTGCATGGTTTATATTTAGACACTTTATCATCTGTACACCAGCCAGAGCAAACAGACCGCCGATAGGCCGACTGGCAGCTATGGGCACTTCTCGTGGAGTCTCACAGTCTATGAACGGGATAAAGCAAAATGACAAGGCAAGATGAAGTCTGCAGGTTCTCAGAGACCGACGGGTTAAAGCTCATTCTTACATCCTCTGGATCTCAAAGAGACGCACGTCGGTGTCGTACCAGATGGGCGGATCCACATTACTACAGTGAAAAGATGGAACAATGTTGTATATATATGACAAAAAAAGTAATCAAATATACAACTCATCAATAATGACAAAGGCTCCACCTCCAATTAAGCAGTCAATATATTCTATATCAAAAATATAGAATTTTAAATTCCATTATAATGCCAAGTTTGAGAAGTGTGCAGCATTGTTTCCCCAAAATCAAAAGAAAAATAACTTTACTCTTTTTACATCATTTTATTTTTATAATTTATTATTATTTATGCTTATTTGTAGGAGCATTATTTTCGTGTGAAAAATAGAATGAATGTCCTCTTTTTACAGTCGAATCGAATGCACATAAATATATACATTTTATACTATACCCCCAGCTTTTTTAAACAAATCAAATCAAATCCTACTCTACATTATTACAAAATGAATATTCTGTTTCTGAATAATCCGTTGGATTTAAAGTGCCCCTATTATGGGTAATGAAAGGTTCATATTTTGGTTTTGGGAGTCCCCAACAACAGGTTGGCATGCATGCAAGGTCAAAAACACTTTCATTGTCTTATAATATGCATTTATTTTTTTACCTTACTTGTTCAACGACTCCTAAACGATTTGCTCAACGATTAATTTTTCCAAACCCCTCCTTTGCGTGACACTAATCTGCGGTGATTGGTCCGATTGGTCTTATTTTAATTTCATCATGAGCCTGTAATGCCTGATAAAGCAACGTTTGTAAGCACAGTGCTGCTTTGTGTACAGCGTTACCGGGGAAACCGCTATTTTTACCGCTCCAAAAGCTGCACCTAGTGGCAAAGAATGAATTAGCATTTTCATTCGGACCAATGCGAAAAGACCAACAAGTGGGCGGGCAATATGCTAATGTTTCATGTTGACCTCAACTTGAAACGGCTTGGGATTCGTTTCAAAAACGACTCGTTTCAATGATTCAGAGTCGACTCTTTCTTTTGAGAGACAATAACTTTATACACAGTGCACTTTCAGATTTAAAACTTTGCAGGATGTTTTCATTCACTTAGAGCTGTGTTACACACTGCATGAAAGGTAATTTTCAAAAATCCATAATAGGGGCACTTTAAAAACACCTGTCATGTTTTTGGTTGAAATGGTAAATGATAAATGAAACTGCAATGTCATACTAACCGCAGGTAAATGACTCCCCACATGTATGTGCGAAACCACATGGCAGTTCCTGCATTGGCCTGGTATTTCCTGATGAGAATGGGATGGGGCACAGGCAGCAGACCCACAAGAGTGCCGTGCTGAAGAAACTTCAGGATCTCGGATTCATCCGTTAGACCCCTAATTTAAAACCATAATGTAATATTTCACAGCAGCAAATCAAACTACATGCAGCTATCAATGACAAACTCTTCTCTTACTTGTCAATGCAGATTTTTTCCACCTGTGGCACCAGTACTTGCAACAAGCGCATGATGGTCTGCAGTGGGAGTTTGCTCTTCCAGGACAGGACCTACAATATGAGTGCAGGTGAAGAGAGCTCTCGTGGGCTTTATTCACACTTGAAATGGTTAACTTGGGGTTGCTCTTAATGTCGTAATGAAACTAAATGACCGACTGGCATTTTCTTCTATATTGTGACATGTATACGAGTTTAATGGATTATCGACAAAGAAAAAAAGCCAGATAGGGACAGGGTTCTATGAGTCGGTTGTTGACTGGATTTGGAGGTGTGAGTGTTGCACTCAAAAAGAGAGGCAGATGAATGTGAGCTTGCAGAAGAAGGGTTTATGAGGACTTGATGATTAGAGAAGTAAGTCCCGCATATGATAGTTGTATGATATTTAAAAAAATAAAAATTAAAAAAATAAAACATATGCATGAATCGTGCACAAAAATATCAATAATATCAGTTTAGAAAATTGATGAAGTGAAGATTTAACATAAGAGCATAAGAAAATACTCTTTTTGTTACAGCCAAATGTATTAGCTTTCTTAAATTATATTTATGGTTTGGTTCAAACTTCAAATTTTGATCTAACATTAAACAAATATATTTATTTTCCCAAAGAAAAAACATTCATACAAAATAAAAAGATTATTTATAATAAAGACCATATGCATAATCAATATATTTTCTTTAGACATAAACCCAAATGTTACTTAATGCTGATCAATATACATTTTGGGCTTTTTACAACTTAATTTCACCTTAAACAAAAGCTAAATTTGTTATAAAATGAAAGTAGAATGTTCACCTAATATATATATAAAAAAATTCGTAGTTTTATACGTTTTACTTACTATATATAAAGACAAGTTCAAAAGACTTTAAAGGTGACATATCATGAAAATCTGACTTTTCCAGGTTTTAAGTGCTATAATCAGGTCCCCGGTACATCTACCAACCAAGGAAACATGAAAAAGATGAACCCAGTAACTTTATTTTGGGAAGTCTTTTTCTGCAAGCGTCTGAGAAAACGAGCGCGTCTGATTTCGCTCCCTTGGTGACGTGGCAAAGGGATCTCATTATAATATTACCGCCCCTTAATCTGTGCGTTCCCACCCATGGCGCCGTCATTTGATTTCGCAAGCGAAAACGGTGTACCAGCTCCAACGCCATGGCGAAAGTTCAAGCAAAACATGCTAGCTGTTCTGTCTTTGTCTAAAAACTATTTAGAGTCCCAGCCTCAGAGGAGCCAAGAGAGCAGTGGATTTATTGATTTATTTACTGTATATTGCTGCTGCCACACAGATCTAAAATAAACATGTGATTTATTTCCCAGCTGTTTACCTTCACAGACATAACCGACTGTTTTTTGTAACTTATGCGTGTTGTTTTTAACGTAAACTTGTGTGTGAATGAGAACTTAGTTTAGTACTCACATGCTGTGACAGCCGCTTTCTGTCCGTGTGCTTCGGATGTGTGCACTCAGAAAACCGTATATCAGAAGTTTAAACTCATATGATTTAAAATGCATGATTTCAGCGCGATAAACATTATAATCAGAACCAAAACAGATGTTTTTAGCAGGTACGAGCTGTAATGGCGCAGCTCTATTCTGGAAAAGGGGGCGGGGAGCAGCAGCTCATTTGAAAAACATCGTGTTTCTGCTTCCACTCAAAATAGGCATTTTCAAAATTATATAATAAATGATCTGTGGAGTATTTTGAGCTGAAACTTCACAGACACATTCTGGGGACACCAGAGACTTATATTACATATTGTAAAAAGGGGCATAATATGTCTCCTTTAATGTTTATCGCCATCTATTCAAAATAATAATCAGATTTCTGTTATTTCTTTTTCTCTTTATCAGAAAGAAAAAAACAGAAATGTAAAAATGTATACTATAATCTACCGAGTCATTTTGATTCCTCTATGAAGAGGTGTGCACTGACATCATAAACTGTTAGTAAAACAGGTTAAATGCTCACTGCATGTTGCACTTGCCCAATCTATCTTATTAACCTGTTACATATGCAAATAAGAACTTTAAGAAAGTTCTTTAACTTTACTTTAATTCTTTAAAACATGGAATAAGACCAACAGAATTTATCACAGGGCTAAGATGACCCAAAGAGGAAAATTCGGTCATTATTTACTCACCCTCATGTTGTTTCAAACAATACAATACACTACAGTTTACTGTAGTAAAAACTA